ACAATTGTGACCGGGATTGTTTTTTTCATGTAGCTTTCTTCTCTCTCACTGTTTGCGTATAGGAAAGCCATGGACTTTTGGGTATTGATTTTATAGCCTGCAACTTTACTATACAAGTCTATTGTTTCTAGGATTTTTTTGGTGGAGGTTATTGGGTTCTCTAAGTATAGTATCATATCATCTGCGAACAGTGAGAGCTTGATTTCTTCCTTTCCTACCTGAATGCCCTTAATATCTTTTTCTTGCCTAATCGCTATTGCAAGTACTTCCAGTACTATATTGAACAGCAGTGGAGAAAGTGGGCGTCCTTGTCTCGTCCCTGATCTTAGAGGGAAGGCTCTCAGTTTTTCCCCATTGAGGATGATGCTTGCTGTAGGCTTGTGGTAGATGACTTTAACTATGTTGAGGAAAGTCCCCTCTATACCCATTTTGACTAGGGTTTTCATCATAAAGGGGTGCTGGATCTTGTCAAATGCTTTCTCTGCATCTATTGATATGATCATATGCTTTTTATCTTTTCTTTTGTTGATATGATGGATTATGTTGATTGATTTCCGAATGTTAAACCATCCTTGCATCCCTGGGATGAATCCTACTTGGTCATGGTGTATGATCTTTTTGATGAGTAGTTGGATTCTATTTGCTAGTAGTTTGTTGAGGATCTTTGCATCTGTGTTCATCAGGGATATCGGCCTGTAATTCTCTTTCTTTGTGGTATCTCTGTCTGCTTTTGGTATCAGTGTGATATTTGCTTCGTAGAAACTGTTTGGAAGTGTTTTTGATATTCCAATTTCGTGGAAAAGTTTAAAAAGGATTTGGAGTAAGTCCTCTTTAAAGATTTGGAAGAATTCACTAGTGAATCCATCTGGGCCAGGACTTTTGTGCTTGGGGAGACTTTTTACTACCATTTCAATTTCCTTGATGGTGATAGGTCTGTTCAGGTATTCCAGGTCTTCTTGGTTCAGCCTTGGGAGTCTGTAGGAGTCTAGGAATTTATCCATTTCCTCGAGATTTTGATGTTCCGTGGCATAAAGCCTCTCAAAGTACTCCCTGAGGATCCTTTGAATATCTGTAGTTTCTGTTGTAATGACCCCCTTTTCATTTCTGATTCGGTTTATTAGGGTTTTCTCTCTCCCTTTCTTTGTGAGTTTTGCTAAAGGCTTATCAATCTTGTTAATTTTCTCGAAGAACCAGCTCTTGGTTTCATTGATCTTTTGGATTGTTTTTTGGGTTTCCATCTCATTAATCTCAGCTCTGAGTTTTATTATTTCCTTTCTCCTGTTCGGGTTATGCTCCTTTTATTGGTCCTTCTCCAAGCTCTTAAGCTGTGAGGTTAGGTTACTCATGTGTGCTCGCTCCTCCTTCCTGAGGAATGCTTGTAGAGCTATAAACTTTCCTCTTAACACAGCTTTTGCTGTGTCCCATAAGTTTAGGTAACTCGTGTTCTCATTTTTATTCGTTTCTAGGAATCTTTTGATTTCCTCTTTGATTTCTTTTCTAAGCCACTCGTTGTTCAATAGGGCACTGTTTAATTTCCAGGTGTTTGATTTAGTTTTCTGTTTTTGTGTGTGATTTACTTCTAATTTCAGCGCATTATGGTCTGAGAAGATTGTTGATACAATCTCTATCTTCTTAATTTTATGGAGGCATGTTTTGTGGCTCAGCATGTGGTCTATCTTGGAGAATTATAACTTAAAATTTTTGTTTAAAAATTTACTTTTTATAATTTTATAACTCTGTTAGTGCTCGAGGACTCAGGGTTTACTCTCAGCAGTACTTGGCTAATTGGTCCTGATAATTCAATGTGTGGACCCTAGGATGCAATGTTGCCTGGGCCCAGCAATTATCAAGGCCCATCAGAGCCACCTCAATTGTGGTCAGGGAATATGCTTTGCTATGATATGAACTTGAGTCTTTGCACATGCCAAGCATTCACCTGTAACCCGTAATTCATCTCCCAAGACTTTTTGGTAGCTATTTTTGAACCAATAAAAATAGTTACTCAATAATTAAAAGGCAGTATTCAATATTTTCAGTCTCATAGCTTCATTAGTGAATTCATGCAGTCAGTTTTTAAAGCACTGTAGCACGTCCTCCCATTGTTCATCGATTTGCTTGAGCAGGCCCAGTAACATCTCCATTGTGAGACTTCTTGTTACTGTGTTTGGCATATCGAATACATCACGGGGAGCTTGCCAGGCTTTGCCGTGCAGGCGAGATACTCTCGGTAGCTTGCCGGGCTCTCCGAGAGGGGCAGAGGAATCGAACTTGGGTCTGCCAGGTTGGCCGTGTGCAAGGCAAACGCCCTACTTCTGTGCTATTGCTCCATCCCCAGTTTTTAAAGAATAACTAATAATTAGTAACAATACTTAAGTTGTTCTGGAGGAAATTGAGAGAATACATTCTATCTTATTAGAGAGTAAATTGAACTATATTCTAATAAATAATTACTCTTCAAAAGATGTCTCATGAGTTGAACAGGCAAAGCATGAACTGGGAGGAGATATTTACAGTAAATTGACTTGACAAATGACCTATCTTAAGAATACAATACTTAGAAATTAAAAAAGCAAATGGCAGAAAACCCAACAAAAAAGGAAATGGGCAAATACAGGAAAAATACTTTCCAAATAAAAGGAGTATCTTTAGCAAGATATATAAGTTTTTGATGGTTTAATATTGTTTCTAATGAGATTTGTAGAGTCTGTTATTCTTTCTAGTTTATCTTAAATGCTATTGTTAGATTTCATTACCTGGGACACTACTTTCACCTTTGTCATTAACTTTTTATTTGTTTTGGGGCAACATCCACTAGTGTGGGGGAGTACTTTTGGCTAGATGCTTGGAGGTCACTCCCAGGAATGCATGGGGGACCATATGGCTTCAGGAATTGAACCTTGGGCTCCTACATGCAAAGGATGTGATCCAGTCTTTTGAACTTTTGTCTTTTGCTTTGTGAAGTAACTTCATTGCTACCCCATATTATTTAACACTTGACTAATAACTCATTTTTAGTATAATGTATGATGTGACTCTGTATTTCCAGTTAAGAGTTATTATATCTGTGCAGTTTTCTTAATTCATGAATTTCTCAGAATTTCTCCCTGTCTTTAATACCTTTCATATATGAAGTTTGTCTCTGCATTTGAGGTCTTTATCATTTTGTGACCTGACTATTCAGGGAATATTCAGGAATCACTCGTGGCATTGCTTGGGAGACTCTATGTGGTGCCTGGGATTGAACCCAGGTTTGCTGTGTGTAAGGCAAACACCTTATGACCTGTATTACCTGTCCAGCTCACAAATATAATTGCTAATATCACAGATCATTCGAAAATCCAATTGTTCATGTTTATTCAGAAATCCATTTGCTTTCAGTACATTACTTCACCATTTTTAGGTTTGATCTTTTTGTGTGTGGCATTTACATGTTTGAATCAATGTTGCTGCCAAGTCTCAAAGTCTCATTTTAAGATGGTTGTTCCTAGCCTTTTAAAGATAGAAGGATTTACTGAGAAAACATAACCATTGTCTCAGTGTTTTCATTTGAAAATGACATCTATAATTTGGTCTCATATTCTGTCCTAGAACCTTCTTACAAAGTCATATCAGTTTTCAGGGACGATTGAGAATTGTTATATGTCTGGATATACATGTCCCTGGGGCTACTAATCTGTTAATGCAAAATTGTGAGACATTTTAGTGGAAAGATTTTGATCTACTACAGATGGCTTTTCCTCCACCCCATTTTTTGCTTATTTATATATAGAATATGTATTATATATAAATTATCTGTTATCTATGATTTTATATTCATGAAAAGAATTATATTTGGATGGAGAGTTGGAATATTCGACAATTATTAATTTTTATATAGGTCAAGATAAATATGACTACAAGATTTTCACATAGACATGAATAGAATAATTTTTCTAGTTTATTAAGATGTGTTTAATGTATAGCACTAATTAAATTTAAGGTGTGCCATATAGTGACTTGACTTATGTACATTGTGAAATCATTACCATCATAAGTTAACATCTCTTATCTCAAATAAAAACCAAATAAAAGGAAAAATGCATTCTTCCTTTTGATCAGAACTTTTGCAAACTGAGCAAAAAGCAATACATGAAATTGAAAACTAATAAGAATTTTAACTGTGTCACCCCCTCTAAGCCTGGATTTGCCATATTTTCCCCTTTCCTATAAAGGTAGCAATAATTGCAACAAAATGGGAGAACTGATCCATGAAAATGAGCTTGTGGGGGGTATGTGAAAGGGAGAGACACCAGGGATTTGGGAAGAGGGAAGTGGTGATGGGTGTAGCATTGGAATTCTGTACACAGGGAAAAAATACTGTGAATCTCGATACCCTCAAGTAATAATAAAAACAAGAAAAAAAATTTAAGGCCTTGCCTTTAATTTTCAGTCCACCTACTTGAAATCCAAATCTCATACTGTAATAGATCTGTACTGTTTATGCACTATTTATGCAAAATTCCAGTCTCTAGCACTTAGTACCTGTGTTTTAGGATGAATTATATAACCATGCTAAACTCCACTTTCCTTATCTATAACAGGTGGGTAGTGAAAGATGTTTCACTGATCTTTTGAAAAGATTAAGTGAATTTATATGTATATATTACAGTATGCCTATAACATTTTAAGAGTCTTATAAGAGCTTTACTGTGCACCAGAGAGTTAGCTCAATTGGCTAAGCACATGGTTTTTGTACAGACGGCCCGGGTACAGTCCTCAGTGCCACATGGTCCCCTGGGAACACTGTTAGGGAACCACTAACACAGACCTGGGAGTAGCCCCCTGGCACTCTGAGTATAACCACCCCCCCCCAAAAAAAAACCTGACACATTAGAAATGCTGTGTGTTTCTTAGATTTGTCATTTTTTAAAAAATCAGATACACTGATTTCCATGCATTCAATCTGGATTCCTTTTCATCTTCTATTTATTCAGTATGATTTTATTTTTTTTTCTCTTTAGATGGAAAGTTTGGAGTTAAGACCTCACAAAAAAGAATTACTGGGAAAACTGCATTTCATAGTGAAATAGAGGGTAAAGATACAAGAGATGATTCACTGTATTCCATTTTAGAAGAACTGTGGCAAGATGCTGAGGAGATAAATAGATATCAAGAAAAGCACAACAGACCTCTGGGTCATACTGCTTTCATCAATAAGAAAGCATTGAACACTGAGTGGAATTATGAATATAAAGACAGAGAAAAATTCATTTACCCAAACCCAAATCTTATTCCTTCACAGAGAAGATCTCACATGCATGACTCATTTGCAAAGAGTTTTAATTTCAACTTGCATATTCATAGTGAAAGCAATGAAACAGAGAACTTTGATAAAATTATTGTACAGGATCAAGTTAACAACAATAGCTCTTCTTATACTGCCCATGAAAATGTACATACGGGAATGAAATTTTGTGAAAATAATCAGTGTGGAAAAGTCCTTAGCCTCAAACAAACACATCCTTACAATCTGAAATTCCCCACTGGAGAGAAAGCAAACACAGGTACTGAATTTGGGAAGATTTTCGCCCAGAAATCACACCTCTTTGCACCTCAGAATATTCGTACTATGGAAAAACCTTATCAATCTAGTAAATGTGTAAATGTTTTTACACAGAAGCCACTACTCAGTATTTATCTGAGGGTTTGTAGAGATGAAAAACTATATATTTGTACTCAATGTGGGAAAGCATTCATCCAGAATTCAGAATTAATTATGCATGAGAAAACTCATACTAGAGAAAAGTCCTTTAAATGCAGTGAATGTGGAAAATCATTTTTCCAGGTATCATCTCTATTTAGGCATCAAACATCTCACACTGGAGAAAAACTCTGTGAATGCAGTGAATGTGGGAAAGGCTTCTCTCTGCACTCAGCTCTCAGTATACATCAGAAAATTCATACTGGAGAGAGACACCATAAATGCAGTGAATGTGGGAAAGCCTTTACCCAAAAATCAACACTCAGGATGCATCAGAAAATTCATACAGGAGAGAGATCCTACATATGTACTGAATGTGGGCAGGCCTTTATCCAGAAGGCACACTTAATTGCACATCAGAGAATTCATACTGGAGAGAAACCTTATGCATGCAATGACTGTGGGAAGTCTTTCCCTTCTAAGTCACAACTCCAGATGCATAAGCGAATCCACACAGGAGAGAAACCCTATATGTGCACTGAATGTGGGAAGGCCTTCACCAACAGATCAAATCTCAATACTCACCAGAAATCTCATACTGGCGAGAAGTCTTATATATGTGCTGAATGTGGAAAGGCCTTCACCGACAGGTCAAATTTCAATAAACATCAGACAATTCATACTGGAGAGAAACCGTATGTTTGTAAGGATTGTGGGAGGGCTTTCATCCAGAAGTCAGAGTTAATTACACATCAGAAAATCCATACTACAGAAAAGCCTTATAAATGTCCTGACTGTGAGAAATCCTTCTCCAAGAAACCACATCTCAAAGTACATCAGCGAATCCACACTGGAGAGAAACCTTATATATGTTCAGAATGTGGAAAAGCCTTCACTGACAGGTCAAATTTCAATAAACACCAGACAGTTCATACTGGAAATAAACCCTATAAATGCAGTGATTGTGGAAAGGGCTTCACTCAGAAATCAGTTCTAAGTATGCATCGCCATATTCATACTTGAAAGGAACCCCATTTCTTGAAAGATGAACCTTACAAAGAAGTCAAGTATAAGTATGTTGTAAAATTCATTCAATATATATATATATTCTGTATAAATGTACTGTATATGAAAAAGTGTTTGCCAGGTTCTATCAGTTGACATGAGAAAAATTATTAGAAGAAACTCTTTAAAGAGTGTGCTGCATTAAAGGAAATTTCCACATTTGCTCAGCCTCATTAAGATGTAATAGAATTCATATTGGGAAAGAAGTTTTCAGGTTGATGTATTAGGAAAAGCCTTCTTTTGAAAGTTTTAGTAAGGCAAATTGTTACCCATTCTTTTTAGAATGGGGCTGCACATAATAAACCAACAAACCATATTTGCTATTCTATGTTAAGCAATTTAAAGTGATAATGAAAAGTTGAACAACAAAATAACATATTTAATTGTGTGGGTCTTTTCTCAGTTGTGTAGTGTTCTTGGCAGAACACATTGCATAATAGTGAGAATAATTTGTTTTTAATATAATTGTGTCTATCAAATTTTACTATTGAATAGTTTTTTTCACATGGATCTGTGATTTTAAAGTCATTGCAGTTTTATGTATGCAAACATCTGCAGATATAATTTTATATGAACTCATAAATATAATCCTCATTTTTTATTTCCATGGCATCGTATTTTTATCTTTCATTGAGATAAAATGCAAAAATCGTCACATTTCCCCCCTTACTTTATGAACATCCCTTTTGTAATGTTGCTGTATTGCTTCTTTTATTAAGAGGTAGAGTTAAAGAGATTACAGAAGAGATTCAAGGAAGTTGAAGAGTCTTCCTACAAGCATACATCTCTAGTTGCTATTTGAAATTCTGAAATTTTATTCTTTAAATGGAAAAGTTCAGATACCCAACCAGGAATAGGAAACCAAATGAAGCAGAGATCAATCAGCTCAACTGAATGAGTCCCATTAGGCCAACTGCCAGAATGACAATTTCCTTGACATCTGGCACTAGCCAAATGGGCCAGACCAGAAGAGTTACACTTGTTATCCCACAGGATCATGAAATAAAGAAAATGATTATTATTTTGTGCTACCATGCTTTGGGGAAGTTGTTTTTTTTTTTTTGCACAGCAAATACTGATGCCTAAAATGGGTAAGCTTGTGTGTGAGAGTGGCCCATGGGACCTGAACAGAATGTGGAGACTGGAAAAATAAGGGAAACTCTAACCAAAAAAATGGAAAAGATTGCAACCTATGTTACTGAGCAGAAAAGGCAATAACAAAATATTCACTGTGCTCTTTGGAAAGGCAGAGAATTTATCAAATGAATGCGTGCATCTTGCTGAGGAAAATTCTGGAAGTGTCATTTTGCTGCTTTCAGCTTCAAATGATAAGATATATAGAAATAGAAACTAAAGTAATTGCTTCTCCACTTGCAAGCAGAATTCAGAGGAAAGAGGAAAGAAAGAAAAGAAAGAAAGAAAGAAAGAAAGAAAGAAAGAAAGAAAGAAAGGAAAGAAAGAGGATTTTGAGGGGTGGAATATAACTTTCAGATATTTTCTCGGTGAAAAAGTGGATCCAGGGTAAAGATGAAATTACAAGCTTGCTCTGTTAAGATGAATTAATTTTTTAAATCGATGCTTGGGAGATCCTCTAAGCTAAACTAAATCGCTTCTAAAGATGTTATGACATTGTTCTAGTAGCCAGACTCAGCTCAAAGCAGACAGGGACCTGCCTTAAAATATTGTCAGTGTGGCATTTGGGGATATAAAATGTAGATACAACCAAAAATTATTTTTCAAAACTCTTATGCCACTTGAAATAATTTTACCAGAGCAAATATATGCACAGTGGACTGAAATTGTTAAAAATGAAAGTGGCCTCTGGGCTCTCCTAATATCTATAAATAGGAAGCAAGCTGAGAAAGCTACTGAACTGCAAACAAATTCCATTTTTAAGGGAAAAGAGGGTACTTCAGAGAGAAGACTGAAGAACAAGAATATTATAGTGGACTCGGGAACTGTTTCTAGGTAAAACTATGACCTAATTGAGAAATAGTTTCTATACCTGGCAGCACGGTCGAATTTCAGAATTATGCAACAGTGACTGGTATATCTCTCTTGTTTCTCTCTCTCTCTTGGACCAGTTTATTATAGATATCCAGTTCCTATCTCGCCTCTGTGTGTGTCTGGAGGGGTTTGAGGGAAGCCCTATAACTTTTAATTTAGCTCAGAGGTATCAGAACTGAGAAGCTTCTCAAGAAGCCTCAGAAACATCTGAACTTGATCCAGGTCTCTGGTTTGAACTTGAGGCCATGATCTGTGGTGAGACACTTGGAGATCATGGAATGGGGGGGGACATAGTTTGCATGTATGGAAATGTAAATAATTTTAAGCAGAAGATAGATTGTGTTATATGGAAAATGCTACAAATACATCTATCTGTCTGTCTATCTATATATCTATCTATCTATCTATCTGTTCCCTTTCAATAATTTTTATTAACCCAACTTCAGTTTCAGAGATTTTTGTTCCCACCCTGACTACCAATGAAGCCACTGAAGACATTCTTTTAAGTAATCTTTTCTAGCATTTCCACTCTTACCAATTTCATCTTTTTGCTAAAAGTCCCCATATGTTCATGCCTGTTGTTTCCATTTTCCACTAAACCCTTTAACATATGAGCTGTCACTTCAGATTCCCTGTTTGAAAGCTCATCAGTTTGGTCAGCTTAGTGAGTGTCTGTTGAGTGCTCTGTCCCTTGACAGTACTTCGTTTTCTCTTGCTGTTTACACCAAATGGCTTTTAGATAAGTGTAGAATGTCACCAGTAGAAACTGAGTTAAATAATATTTGTTCCTGGAAAAAGATATGAATGCATTTCTGATAGGTATTAGTTGGGAAATTTTTGAGGGGATATCTCATCAGGTTTTAGCTGGGTTTGGGGTTTTTTTGTTGTTGTGGTTACATTCAGTATACCCTAGACTTTGCATTTCTCTAAGCGTTTCTTTGTGCTTTAGAGTAGGAACTGTTTTCCCAGAGAATCTGTCTCTAAGTTCCTTTCCCCTTGCCTGTACCATACCTGCCTGCCTCTCATGGAATGTCTCTGTCCTTGCCTTTCACTGATATTTCTACTAGTGTTGTGGTGATCTGATGAGGGTACCAGTTTTCTTTGTGCTTGCCTTGGTTGTAAGTAGGCCCTTTACCCCTAGGTCTTTCTGTGGGATAAATCTGCCACCCCAACAAGGCAGAAAAGCCTTGATAGTCTGGATTCAAGATATTTCCTACATAAGCAGAATAATTTTTTTCTGTACTCTACATACAGACTCTGACCTGGGAGCAACAGGGTTTGCTTCACTTTCTTCGTTCTGCCAGTGGGTAGGGTCCTCCTAGAGCTGTGTGCCATTTCTGTGTTATCAGCTGTCTTTTGAAGGCTTGTACCATGGAGAGTGGCTTTCTACTGTCTCCTGCCATTTTAATGTTTTCTGTGAGGACCCAGTGATGGTCGGTGGAGAAGAGCCTATAAGTGGGAGCCAACTACTGTGAGATCTCCAGCTCTCAAGGGGTTCAGTTTCTCATATCCTGCCTTGAGTAATTCATTAATTTTTTTCTTTTGGTTTCACGGCTAAACCTGATGGTGCTCAGGACTAACTCTTGACTCTGCTCCAAGGGTCACTTCTGGTGGGGCCTATGAGGTTCTCATATGGAAACCTTATGAGGTTCTGGGAATCAACCCAGGTCAGCAATATGTAAGACCAGAACCTTACCTGCTCTACTATCTCTGTGGCCCAGATACTCATTAAAATTTTTGGTGTAATTCTTAGTGCTTGCCCCTCTTCTTTCTTGATCTTCAGATGGCCTAGTGATAAGGTACTATCTCCTTGAGTCATTTTTTTGTCACATGTCAAGCTAGGTGGTTGCTTTGTTTTGTTCCCCAAAGGTTACAGTTTTGTAAATTACCCACTTTTTTTTTGGTTTTTGGGCCACACCTGGTCTTTTTTCAGGGGTAACTCTTGACTCTGTACTCAGGAATTACTTCTAGTGGTCTTCAGGGATCATATGGGATGTTGGAGATTGAACTCGAGTCAGCCGCATGCAAGGTGGTATGGGACAAAAAGCCTTGAGTACTGCCCACTGTACTGTCTCTCCAGACCCATATCAATATTGTTCTTGTAAAAATCTGAGTTATCAGGATGGGAGAGATTTTTTTCAGTGGTCAGGGGTATTGCTTTATTTGCATAGAAACCCAGTTTCAACCCCTTGCATTACAAGCACCCCCCCACCCAAAACTGATTGGAATAGTCCTGGGAACTCCTGCACATTGCTGGGTTTGTGCCTGGTGGCCTTTTGTCTAAAGGCAATTTGATTGCCACCATCAACCTCTATCCAGTGGGGTAAGTCACAGAGAATGAGACAAACACACAAGGACTGTCCAAGCTTTAGATTTGCCTGGGCAACCATAAGTGAGCACCCAGACTGACCATTTTATTCTATACAGCATTGCTACCCCACTCTGGTTCACAACATGTGAGTTATAGTTTAACTTGTCTGAGACATTGGGTACATGAAGAATAGAGGCTGGAATATTTCACATAGCCAATCAGCAGGCTTCTCTTAGTGATGACAATTTACTATTCTTTTCTTGCCAATGTTGCCCTCCACATATACAGACACTAAACTTTTTATTCTGGTACATTTTGCTTGCCCTGTAACCTATTTTCTTTCCTGAGTGCATTTGTACTGACTGTTTATATTCTAAGAACTATGATGTTTTGCTCAGGGGACTATTCTGACATTAGGGTTGGGGATTGGGTTTTGTTTAGGAGGGCATTCTTCCACAGACCTTGAACTTGAGCACCTCTGAGACTGAGGAGCCCTGAATTGCCAGATCCAAGAATATAACCATTTAGCTTATTAATTTATTTTCTTTCCTTTTTTTTTTTGAGCCATACCCGGCAGTACTCAAGGCTTTTTGTCCCATACAGTCTAATTAACAGAGCATCACTGATCCCCCTGAATGCTGCTTGGAACTCTTCTAGAAAAGGATATTATCTTTTTAAATATCTTCATACAAGAGGTAGAAGAGTGGATGGTCTCCTTTGGCTACACACACACACACACACACACACACACACACACACACACACACACAGC